TCCTCTGCAATTGGCTCCCCTGACTCGAGACCACGTAGAGCAGGGAGGTGTGATGAGCACTACGTCAAACTCTCCAGCCTTGATGCGTTGTAGCAAGCTTTGCTGCACGCTGCCCTTTGCCAAGTCCCACTCTGGCGAGTTCTGGATGTCAATGTCATGCACCACACATTGGATACCCTTCTGGTGGCATAGTTCTTGCAGGACAGAGGTGACTGATGACTTCCTCTGTGTACCACTGAACAAGTACAGCACGTGCAAGGTGCGCTGCACGCGTGTGCCCCTCGTTGTGCCCTCAACTTCAGGTGGGCCTGGGGCTTGGCCCACCCCTTGACTCCGTCAGGCTGCCTTCCCGCCCCCCTCGGGGGCTCCTGCTGTGTCCTTCGGCTTGCCACTGTTGTCGCAAGCATGCACCGGGTGTGAACCAAAGCAAGCCTGGCATACATGAAGCCTTCCGCAGTTGAAGCGGCATCGTTCACGTGGGTTGTTCCAGCGCCAGCAGATTTGCCGCCCGTCAGGGGTTCGATCATGAAGCTGCTTTCCCCCTTTCTTGCCCTTGCTCTTGCCGCCTCCTTTCCGAGACTTGCCCTTGCCTTTGTCCCAGTCTCGGCCTCGCTCAGCATTCCAGCTTCGGTCGACTGGTGGACTTCGGGACCTCCAGGAATCGGAGCGGCCATGACCCAACGCTACCTGTGAGTAGACATTCGGGGTGAGGAAGTACCGCTCCTTTATAGTGGTGTCAGCCATGGATTCCTTCAGTGCCTCGTGTAGTAGGCGGCCTTCATTCGCCAGCTTCACCATGTTGCGCCTCACCTGGAAGTCATAGGAGAGCATCAGGTCAAACTCAGGGGATGCCACCGTTTCACCCGCTTGGTTCTTTGCCTTCAAGCCAAGCACATGCTCTCCAAGCATCAGATCGAGGTATTTCAGGAAGTGAACCGGCTGCAAATCCCGCAATATAGCCTTTTGTGGGAACTTCAGCTGAGCCAGGAGGTAAGCATGCGACACCACGGCCATGCGCCGTCGGAACTCTTCTGGGCTACGGGGCTTGGGGCACTCCCCGTATCCCTTCTTCACCTTCAAGGCGCCGGTGCCCTTCTCGATGGTCGCCCCAAGCACATCTGCTTCTGCATCCTCCCGGCTCACGAATTGGACCAGGCTCATATTCTTGAGCTCTCCCTGTTCAACCTGATCGAATATCTGCTCCAAAGTCGATGCCGCAGGGATGTTCTTGTCTTCCAACTTCAAGCCATGCACCGACTGGAACTTCGTGAGCAGATCCTGAATCTCCACTTTGTTCAGTGCTCTTGGTTGGCTGGCCAAACCAGCCTCTGCCTCGGCCTTGTGCCTCACCGACATCCTGGCGGATGAGGACTCCCAGGCATCGACCATTGATGCAATGTCTATGACGTCTCGTGCCTCATCCAAGCCCAGCGAATCCACGCAGAACCTCCTCATGCCAGCACGGTCATCTGCCACAGTGCTCAACCTGCTGATAGTCCGGACTCGTGCAATGGCCAGCTTCGCTTGGATGACCTCGTTCACCTCTTTGATCTGCAAGAGGCCGTGCAGGTCCGCATCGAGCAAGGCTATGGCATTGGCTCTCCTGACAGGCGTATCATGCCCGATGTCCGGAGGTGCTGCTGCCCCTGCCATGTGCTCTCGCGAGGGCTCGGTGCCGGCCCCCCGCGAGTCCGCGGCCGCGCCCACTTGCGCGCGCCCCCTTGCTTTGGAGCCCCATCAAGTACGCACATGCCTGACAGGGCTTTCACAAGCAAACATGATCGGCCGATCCCTACGGCGTTCAATCAACACACAACAGCAAGGGTCGAGCGAACGAGAACCGGTTTCGGCCCCATCGTACCTTCTCAGAATACTTACTTACTCTCTCTCTCTCACAAGTGTGCAGCACTCTCTCAACCCCTGCCACACACCTTTCCCCCACAGTGCAGTAAGGTCCCATTTTCAGCATGAGCTCCCATCCGCCTCACGCCGATGGCTCCACCTCCGATTCCATCGAATCTGACGAGGTCACTTCCCCAGAACTCTCTTCTTCCGGGGAACCTTCTGCAGCGGTGGCATCTTTACCGAAGCAGTTCTTGCATGCCCTGTGATATGTACTTGCATCGGGAGGTTCATCTCCCAGGATCTCAAACTGGGCGTAATGTACTCCGGGTTGCCTATGGCATTCCCCGACGCGGTGAAGCGTCCGAGTGCGGGAGCGCCCCACAATCGAAACTACAAACGTGCCAGCCACTGTCTCGGCCCGCACCACCTCAGTTGCCCGTGTCTGCAACTCCTCCTCCTCGGACTCGAACCCGCCGTCACCCAGGTCATTGGCTGCATCCTTGATGTCCTCGCCCTCGGCAGGCTCGATCAAGACCACTGGCCCCGATGCCGTCCACTTCGGTCTCCAGGCTGCCTCGACTGCCACCTCCTCCGGGTGGAAGCTCTCCAAGAGGGCGGCTTGCACTTCCATCGCTTCATCCGGGTACCCCAAGAGCCCCATGCGGATGCTGACTGTCTCCAACACCGCCGCCTCATCCATAGGATCTCCTCGGCCTCTATTGTCTCGCAGGAACGTGGCGATGATCTTCTGGCTACGAAGTATGTTGGCACGAGTGGTCCGTTCGTAGCCCTCATCGGTGGCTGGACGCCACCTTCCCATCTGCCTCCTGACATCAGGCGGAATTCTGGCCGCCGATGCCCATGATCTCAGCGTCGCACGCTCGGAGTGTTCCGTCCACAATGTGCCCACGCCTGCAAACAACAACGAGGCCCTCTGTCCTTTGTCCATGACCCACAGCTCCCCGAACAAGGCTTGAGACATAGCAGATGCTGTTGAATAGTCTGCCATGCGCCTTGCGAATCCCGTCCTGCATGCTGTCGGCCATGGCAACATAAAATCGCGGGTCAACATGCCCGCCTCCATTCCCATGTGGTTCCAAATCTTCCAACCAACCTCCAGCCAGTTATGGCGGGATACCCAGGCCTCCTTGCTCACGTAGAAGGGAAGCTGAAGAATTCGCTTCCCGGACCTGAAGTCTTGGACTTGTGGATGATTCCCACCAAGTGACTGTCCCGAAGCTCCATGCTTCTGTTTGGAGTGCCCTTGGTATCATCAAAGCGCAAACCCGCCCAGATCTTCACCAGGCGGTACCATGCATATGCCCTCGAAAACGGCATCCTGTCATCTGCGACCACCATGTCCTCCATTGCCATGACCACCGCCAGCGGCAGCAGCAGTGCCTTCCGCGAAGGCCTGATCTCTGAAGATGCCAACCTCATCTGCGCCTCCTCAATGGCATTGCGAACCGCCGATGACCTGTGCAGGAGAGCTGACTCCTCCACCTCACCGGCGAACTCCATGAACATCAAAGTCTTGTAAGCCGCCTCAGGCGCTGACTTGGCACAGGGCTCTTGCACGATAGCCTCGATGTACTCTGCAAACTCGCTGGGTGTGGATGGCCAGGGCTTTCCAAAGGTCATCTCAAGCCATTGGCCCACCTTTTGCCACGTCTTGACATGCTTCCTCAACGTGTTCGGTCGCCTTCCTTTGGCGATCCTCATCATGAGGGACTCCTCGGTGGACCTGAGGACAACCGGTAGCTGTGCCTTCTTCATCAGCTCTCTCAACTCTGCAAGCCACCGATCCCTCTCAGACTTCTCGGCCATCTCCCGGAGCGCCAAGTCCGAGCCGGCCAAGTGGAGCTTCTTCCCCAGGCGAGTTGGCCATTTGAAGACCTTTGCAGTGCCCACCAGCTTGATGCGCTCCGTCACCTCCAACTCGCTCAGTCCATGCAAGACCTTGCGCCTCTTCTCACGCTGGTGCTCCACATGAGCCTCTAGAAGATCTTGCGACCCTTTGCCAGCATCAGCTCTGTGGATGTTGGCAGACCTCTTGTCACATTGCGAGATCAAGTCCCGCAAGCCACCTGCCTCCTGGCAGAAGCTCTCCTTTCTCTTCCTGGCGGAGGTCAAGACCGTGTCGAGGATCTTCAGGTTGCATCCTCTCAGGGTGGCTAGCTTGGTTGTGGTCCACCCCAACTCCGCCAGGACTTCCAAGTCAGGATCTGTCCACCCTGCCAACGCGCCGCAGAGGGACAGATCCTCCATCGCGGCACCGCTGGATCCCCCCACCCGTCGAAGAGGGGCTTCGAGCCGCGGTGCTACGCGGTCGTTTAGTGACAATCCCCATGATTCTCATGAGTCATCATTATATATATAACATATAGACAATTCAGCTCAGCTCGGTGAAGTCTCAGGAGGTATCCGTCCATCACTCCCTGTTTTTGCCTCAAAAAAACACACGTCACCAGGCCCTACCTATTTCCAGAGCCGTGTGAAACTCGCCATTGCTCCGTTGCTGCCATTGCTCCGTTTGGGAGGAATGGGAGCGTGGAGGGCATCTAGCAATTAGCTTCAGCAGAATCCACGGGAATTTCAGCATCCACGGGAGCCCTTCGCTCTATCGCAGCTCTATCAAGTCTGCTGTCCTGTTCCAAGAGTCTGCCAGTCAACAGTCCGATCCTTTCAAGTTATGGAAAATGCTAGTAACAAAGGGCATCACAAGAAGCTACGATATAGTAACTAGCAACTTCACTGTGAAACTGCGAAGATCCAAACATGAGGTGAAGACACGGCTAAGACTACTGATTTCAGAACCATGATCGCTGCGCTGCCCACATCTTGGCCTGGAATTCCCTGAAACTTGCTGTCCTTCTAGAACTGAGGGCCATCTTTGATTGAGCCAAGGTCAATGGGTTAGCCAAAGCCCTAGGCCTTGGGAGCTCCATACATACCCTCCGTCGGAGAAAAACAAGGCCCGCTATGAGCGTCGCTCTCTGCGTCGTCCCATCAACTTGCAGTCGATGGGCTCCGCAACCGCAACCGCAACGGCCAACCCGAATAATCAACCGTAACAACAAAAAGGAACTAAAGAGAACTGCCACCCAAACACCCCTCATGATGCACACTGACAAAGGGTATGTGTGCCTAGAACCTCACTTGGAGCCTGGTCTTGCTTCCCTCAGGCTTTTCCAGTCGATGTGGTTGGGCATGCAAGTCCAACCTGGACACAGCGTCACATACATATGAACAAGGAACCCGGATCTGGGTCTGGGCTCAATGCTGAGCTGTTTGGCGACGAAGTGAGAAAAAGGGGAAGCCTCTGTGCTGGCTGCGAACTGGCCCGCCTCGAGCTAGCTACCCGTTCAAGATCACATCCGCAGTCGAGTCGCATGTCCCCAGAAAAACTGACACATGGACGGTCATGGAGTCATGGACTTTCAGGCCCATGGTGCGAGTCACGGGAAGGGAGGAGTCCATCCTAAAGTTATACATTCACGGTCTGCCGTTCTCGGATTGGGCGGCCCCTGCTAAGGAACCATCAACAACCACCCAGCATCCCAGGCTGTGGAGTACATCCTGGATCAACATGCACAACCCAAAATGAGCGCCTGAGGTCACACTTGTCCAAGCTCAATAACTGTGAAAAGTCCAAGTGGCATTGCGGCATTGCTTCTGCGTCATCTCAGAGGTATTGTTCAGGGGATGTGTTCCATGATGTGCTGTGATGCATTCCGTCCTGCGTTCCCCGCCATCAGCATCAAAAGAAAAGCCAAGCAGCAAAGGTGTGAGTTGGCAGCCTCGCACTGCAAGCCTTTCTCCTTCCTTGGATTGGCGATCGGTGCTGATGCATAGATTCCATGGATAAAGCAAGTTGATGCTCTCAAGCCAACTACAGTTGGCCAACAACTGCTATCATTTCGCCATACTGTTGGTGGGATATATATATATATATATAAATATACTGCAACCAAAAATAACCAAACTAAGATGAAGGCTAAATGGAGGGTGTGTGGAGAAAGGGGGTCAGCAAAAATCGCTTATACGAAGTTAGTGCATCAAAAATACCTTCCACGAAGTTCTGCGAAGGTTTCTGGAATTTCGTTGCAGTCAGTTCTCCTACTGGCCCACCATTCCACGAACTGTCCACGAATAGCCTTGGGTTCTACGAATGTCCCACGCCTTCCACGATGTTAGTAGAATAGGTTTTTGCAAAACCCTTTCTGTGCACTACCCTTCCGTTTGCCTCTGATAAGTCTCCAAACAATGAACTTCCGTGTCAGGCACTCAGCTTCAGAAAATGACCATGCACTGGCTGGGTGTCATTCGATTCGAGGGTGTCATTCGAGTGTGTGGGGGGGGGGGGGGGGGGGGCAGCAGGTTCCTGGCAAGGGGTTCTCAGCAGGAAACTCCGAAGACTTAGTAAAAAGGTCTCATCTAAAGTCAGAGTTGCGCCCGACTGACACCCAACTCCTGAAAAATACTGTCAACAGCTGAAAGAAAGAATGCAGGCTTCCGGTCCATGACCTTCATGCAGTTGCAGCAGCTGCCAGCGCTCTTCCACCTCAATTCGCACCATCCCTCCCAAGTGACAGTCCGGTCGAGAAACCGGTGGACCTTGCACCAGGTTGGGGGCATTGAAAAGGAGGTATACAGCTATGCATGCAGCTATACATCAATACCGCCTCGTAAAAAGAGCCACGGGATGGACTCCGAACCAAACGGCTCGTCCCGGTTCGTCCTCCCCCGCGCTGCCGTCCGAACACCCCGCTCCTCGCCAAGCCGCTCCTTCCAAGTGCCCGGTCGTACGAAGCGTCGGTACTCCGCCAGGCGCGCGAGATGCTTCAGCATCTCAGGGTGGCGGAAGTCAGGACACGCCTGGCCGGCCGGCAACGACCAGTCAGCCACGGGGTGGTATGTCGGATAGATTAGGGCAGAAAGGATCAATGGCTGGCGGCTGGCGCTTTTCTAGTTAGTTTACACATGTTTACATGATATTTTACACAGGTTTTTCTACAATGTTCTACAGGAGTGCAGAAGGATTTCTAGAATCTTAACTTTCTACCCGACTCGGAAGGTCCTTATTTTCCGTAGCTTCGGGGGGACAGAGTCCGAAATGCTCAAACATGCTTGTTCAATTGATTCCAGGAATTTGCTCAAACGTTGCAAGACAAATTGTGCTGCAAAACTTATGCTATGCTTGATAAAATGCCTTCAATAGTCATATGATCATATGCTGAAGTTGTCGTTACAGTAAACCTGCTAGATGGCATCTATTATAACGTTATGTGTTTGTGTCTCCCAACACCTCCGCCAAGTGGATGAATGAGACTTACAACCCTTGGGATTCTAATGCAAACAACATATTATATAGCAAATTGTGTTCAAGCTATGCCATGCAAATCACGTGAAAATTGAAGAGGTCTGCTATGGTCTGCTCGACACTTGGATGGTTAGGGGGCCCTACTTGGAAGCAGCCAGGCCTAGCCAGGCAAACTCGAAGCATCCATGAAGACTTCTATACTCTTGTTCTTAGTGACTTTTGAAGAGATCTGCTCGGAGGGATTTGATTTCGGTTGCCGGATGCAGCAGTCTGATGCGATTTCGGTGGATCAACGATCCTGCCTTGTCAACTCTCGAGCCGGATCTAAGGTCGTCATACAGAAACGTCCGCCCGGATATGAGGTTGAATGCTTTCACCCACCAACCCGACAATTGAGAACCCCCCGAGCCAAAAGACCCGATGGGATCGAACATATGGTTTTTTTCGTTGGGGAACACTTCATCCAGGCACGTGCGACTTGTGACCCACACGTGAATAGTCTATGCCATCATATGGCATATATGCCTCTATGATCCTCTATGCTTATAGATCATCCCTCAGGTGCTTCAGACTTCAAACACAGCACCAAAAGGGATGGCAGCAAGAGCGAGTCCAGGCATCCTAGAAGCGCTCCAAAGATGTCCAAAGAACATCTGCACAAACCTCCACGAAGGACCGCTGTGCATGCACCCCAAGAAATTGCCACGCCACGCGTCTTTTCTGCTTTACTTGCCGACGACAAACAAGAACAACAAACCGTCGCATGACGAACTTTGAGTGATGCATTCCAGCCCGAGACCATAGGCCCAAGACAAAAGAAGTCTCCAACCCTGAGACTGTTTCAGGCCAAGCCACAGATTTGGAACCTCAAACATCCTCAAACCGCCCCAACCTTTCGGAGTCTTCCACTGCGGGGGCCGTCACGTCCCACGTTCTTCAGGAGTCATATCGCCTCATTGAGCAAGGCGTCCAGCTCTTCGATGAGCGTCGTGAGTTGGTGAACCTCACAGACCTGGTCAACTCTGGGAGCGCACTTCGTCGCGCGAAACGGGTCGCGGAAAAGACCTGGTCCCAAGTGGGAGGTGGAGAGGGACCACCACTGGCCTCACATGGTGAACGGACAGTGCTTCGAAACAGACCGGACGTTAAAATGGGACCACCTGCCAGGAACAAGGACGCTACTAGGAACAAAGGGCATCGCTACCATTCGCTACTAGTAACACTGCCAGGGGCAGGTCCTCTCCGCATCTCCAGGCCCGGCGCCTTGAGATGCTGGGACTCCGCCGTCGCGGGGCCCACCTGGACAGAACGTCCAGACGAAACCAGCGAACACCTGGAATGACACGCGTGTTGCATGGTCTTCCACGCTGCTGCATCCATCCATCCGTCCATCCATCCATCCATCCCTCCGTCCGTCCGTCCGTCCGTCCGTCCATCCATACTCGTCGAAAACCATGGAAACAATGGAATTCAATGTAAATCGTGCGAAACCTCTTCGAACAGCAGTCTTTCAAGTTTGCGACCTCGTCTTCAGCCCAAGATGCCCATCGACACCCAAAGTGTTGATGCCGGCAGTGGAGCTCCAAGGCCAGACACTCCTGAGAGGGACATGTGGAACACAGCGGAAGCGGGCCGAGAAGGTATGCGCGGAACACAGAAGGAATGCGGTGGAGACCCACGTGGCGAGTTCACCTGGGTCCTGATGGCATCTCATGGAAGGTCGGCTTTTCACTGGGCTTATTAAACAATACGATATATTTGTCCCAGCTGCCATAAGTAGGTAGGTAGGTAGGTAGGGCCAACTATATAATGGCGAAAGCTTTGCCGCTGGTGGGGCCCAGGACACTTCCAACCTGTCAACAGCCCTTGCTGGGACCATTGATTGCATGGGGCTGGTTTATGGCTCCTTTTTTGTGAGGGGGGCTTTCACCGCATTGACAAGCACATACCAGCCCCACTCACTTCTGGAACATAACAAGGCCCCGCGAGATCGTATGAGTATGGCTTTGCGATGAGCGCCCCGTATCCTTAGATGATAGCCAAACCCATCCAAATCCACACCAGAGTGGTCCAGGAGGTGTCAAAATCCTTTACTTGCCCTGCACACCAACGACCGTTGCAGGCAGCCCTCGCACACCAACCTTCAGCACCCTATGCGACAGGTCGCCAGCTCATGTTCCTCCAATTCGTCACTGGTGCCCTGCCAATCGCAGCCATCCGCCGCGCGCGAGCACATGCGCGGCTGCCAAGCACAGCGGCTCAGGTGCGCCTGCCCGAGCAAAGAAATCGCAGTTTCACATAAGACACCCGGAAGAAGCCTTGTTGTGAGTGCTGTAGCTCCACCACCCTAGGCCCTCACGAAAGTAGAACAAATGCATAATCCACTCTGGAAAAGTGGCAAAATATGATATGATATGATATAGTGGGATAATGAGTTACTATAATATATGATGGGTATAGATCAGACATGTGAAGCCGTATTGGGGAAAAAAACGCCCTGCCGTCTGTCTCGCCTGGAGGTCGTTCGCCCAGAAGCGTTGCTGACAGCGTGGGTGTGGACAGCGAAGCACCTCCGCTTGGCAGTGCCCCAGCTCACAGCTCAGAAGCAGCTCGTAGCGGCCCGCCTGCGCCAGGAAGCCATAGTGGGAGCTACGGGGGAACTTTCTGAGGTGTTTAGTGATGGAACCCAGGTGCCAATTACAATAAGTTTGGTGAGCAGCTGTCCAACTCATGAGTGTTTCTGTTGATTTGACACCCTCCTCTGGAGCCAGGAACAACGCAATTACACAATCGCCCTGGGACACCGCGCCTCCAGCTGAAAGTTGGCGCGGTTCACACCCATCGCTGCGAAGACCAGGTCTTCACCCCCCACGAGCCGCGCTTGGGCCACCAATCGTGGTGCCAGCTCCTGGACAGGCAGCGCGACCAAGTGCTGTGCTGTGGAACCTTGTGGATCAGCAATGCCCTTTTGCGAACAATATACTGTATAGGGGTCGATTTCGTACCGCGTACCTATTACTATTAACCAAACAACCCAATGGCAAAAGGCCATCTACGATTTGGATTCCAAGCGCTTGTTCGAAGGTTCAATCTCTGTGGGGCCGGGGCGTTCCCTTTCAGCATTTGAAGTTGCACCTTCTTTGAGACAACGAGTCTAGCACCCACTTGAATGGCGCTCGCCATCGGCGAGAGGAAAACCATCGACTGCACCGATGGTTCGAAGCTTACTTTGAAGCAACCAGTTTGCACACTAGTTTGGAGGACACCCTGGATGCCCAGGTTCCATCATTTGTCAACGGTTCGCAAGCTCCCAGGTTCAAACGACCAGTCATCATCGCTCCTGATGATATAAAATCCCGCGACCTGGAGGATGAACATTATTAATAGATAGATATATATATATATACATATAATATGTAATATATCTACTAAGTTACTATGGAGGGTTTTTTTCATCATGTTCATCACTTCCTCACCGCCAGGGGGCCGACTCTCCCAGGTTGCACCCTCGCCTGGAGGCCCACGGGCGCCCAGCTCAACCACAGCCCTTTGGCGCCCTCAGGGGTTGACGAACTTGCTTGGTCCTGCCACCAGGGAGACATGGTATGGGGGGTGAAGTAGCTAACCAGCCCAAAAGCTACCAGCCGGTTCTCGGAAAAGACCACGAAGACGTTGAACAACACAAGTTCATGTCATGTTCAGCCTTCATGACTTTCTGAGGAACAGTGTGCTCTTGATACAACCAAACCCACTATATGTTCAGGAACCTGGGTACTTCTTGGACTTAGCAACCACTTGAAGTGTCAGCAACACAGGTGAGGTTGTGTAAAACTCCCCCTACCTTTCCCTATACCACTTTTGACGTTATCTTTTTTGTTTCTTCCTTATCGTTTTACAGCACTTTGCATAACTGCAACAAATGTAGTAACCGTATAATTTAGGTAGTGTGATGTAGTGTGTGCACTACATGCTTGTGGTGTGTGGAACCTTGCAGATATGAAGACATTAGGCACACTTCATTCCAACTACACCCATGTGGTGGCCTGCCTACGGAAAGGTGTTTTAGGCTCGCTGTGTTATCGTTTTTGTTATCGTTTTGTTATCGTTTTCATGCCTGGTGCAAGTTGGAAAACCATGTGGCACGACAATGCTGCAGCACAAGGCTACAGCGGACCAAGCCCTTCCACCTCTGTCCAAGCATATACCACGTCTCGCATGTCAAGGGTTTTGCACAAGAGTTATGGGGGTTATCGTGTTTGTTTTGTTGCTTCCTTATCGTTTTACAGGGGATTGAGCATGCTTTCAGGAAAACGGCGAATACTAATTTCTTACACGGGGGGGGTTTATACTCTCTCAGGTGCCACCAACAAACTCCATATAATTATATCTGAGATTGAAGGATCGTCATATTCATACAAATATTGTATATATAAATAACTTAAAAAGTCATGACTTCAATGTGACATGTCACTCCACCTGACCGCGGGGCTCAAATGAATCGAAATTATTCATAATTCTGATTCGCGTCATTTTCCCACATGTTCTACAAATCCCGTTTCCCTTGCATGCCGTTGCATTGGACTCTATCTGGACGGCCATGATCGGCCATGCGCAAGCCATGCAGTGCAGCCATATACCCTGGGAGCTTCTTAGAACCTCACTATCAACTCAAACACTCCAAAAAGAATACAATAACAAGTAAAACAGAATAAAACTGATGAAACTCCAAACTTGACAAAGAACGGAACACATCCATTTACACTGTCCATGAATCCCAAACCATCCGCTCCCCCCAAACTCTTCCACACTTCGGCGCGCGAAACCACGGTGTTGGTCCTCCTCACCCCACCCGGGCCGGCGCCTTCTCTCGGCCGTACGTACGTCCGACGAGTTCGGACGTCCACGCGTCCGACGGAGCGCGGCCTCCGGGCGCAGCGGCACCGGCAGGTCAAAGCAGCCCACGGCCGAGCCGCTGGCGCTGCGGCGATGTTCGCTGCTGGTGCGCTCTGCGGGCGCGGTCGCCGCGTCCACCAGCTCCACCGGGCATGGGGGGAACTGAGTGACCTGGGGAAAGACCGGAAGGAAGTGACGGAGTCAAAAAAGAACAAACGAAATGGAAGGTGAGGAAGAATGAGTCAGATGTTCTGATGTTATGAACTGAAGTGTGCCCAGCATGATCCAGCGTGTGTAAAGCAACACAAAGCATTGGCTCTTTACACATCTGCTTCCTGCTCCTTTGTCCCCAAAACCACCACTTGAGAGGAGGGAGACACGAAAGGTAGGACAGCGGGAAGAGAAGAGAACGCGAGAGGCAGGAACAAAAATGCAATGTTCGACATGGTGATTTATCCCCTCGGAGGCGACCTTTCGTAAATATATGTTCATATGCACTTTAAATGTTCAAACATGTGCTCTCGAAATGTTCAAAAAGATTCTTAGGAAAACAAACTTGCCCCATGGCTCAGATCATCGGTGAGCATTGAATCGGAACATCATAGGATTTGAACTATCCTGAAACCATAAGAGGCTCACAAAGACGCTCCCCAGGAGAGAATTGACGTGCTTCACAAAACGTATCCCCTCGGGGAACACCTTTCGTGATTAGAATTTCATATTCACTCTTTCTAAATGTTCAAGAGGGTTTCAACTATCCTGAAATCATGAGAGGCTCACGAAGACGTTCTCCAGGAGAGAATTGATTTTAGAGGGGGGGAGGGGGGGGGGC